TCTAATATATAATGTCATAACTCGTTCTATGAGGTATATGTGGTGCGTAGAAGTGTATCTGATGATATCAATCTATTTTAAGGCACTTTGGCGGAGTTGACACTGTCTAGTTACAAATACATGACATTTAGACCATAGTTTACATTCCATCTCAGTCATTTCAACAAGTTACTGATCACTTTCACCACCATTATGTTTCTCACACGCTCTAGTACAATTATTAGTTCAAGAGTGGGTTCTGTGGAAGACTCTGTAAGAAATAATACCATATATAGTAATATAAATAAACTCAATTTAAGAGTTAATTTTATTTCTTCTCATTTTCATATAGATTATTCAATATAGAACACATCTAGATAGTTTACATATCATAAAAGTCAAGATACTATATATGGTCTTTGATTAAATTTAAAAATAGACTGCCGTTGATTACTGGAATATTAATATTCAAAGCTTGATGATTAAGCTATTGATTGAATCAAACCGATTATTGAATATTGGTCATTGAATTGGTGAATAATCACTCTTGATAATGTTACTTATTCATATTGCATGCAAATCAACCTGATTCAATCTACAAAGGTTGGTAGTTGCACCACTACGTGGCGAAACTACCCAACCACGATGAATCAACATGTGATTCACTTCCATTCAACTCAATTTGACCGTTATGATCAATAAATCAATGAAATGTTCCTTTATTAGCAATACCTATGAAATCTAATGAGTAGATTCACGTCCCAAACATTTGACTTCTCAAAGTCCATAATTCAAAAGTTGATACTGACCTGACCTTTATATATCTATCAATATACGAAATGAAACCATCAAATTTACATCATTAATAGATTATAAGAAATATAATCAATGATATGAATCTTCACTAAGTAATCTCTTAAATAACCCAAATAAATCAACTCTGAATCCTAACCAAACCCATTTGAATTTATGTACCAAAGTAATGGTTCTTGGTTTTGGTTTTATTACCAGTTTGCAAGGGTTTGTTTTTACCAAAGTAAACATTCAATTTACTATATGAAAATGTTATTCAACCAATTAAGGATAAAAACTAGTTTTAAGTCATTTTTTAATTTTCATGTCACACTTTCAATAAAGATGAAATCGCTTTGTAAAAATCCACCCATGTTAAACATTTTCAAATCAATGATTCTGCATCTGTCAACATCATCTTTCTGAATAATAAATCCACCAACAGTTAGGAATTTGTTTTTTTGTGTAGTATCACTGTTACATGATTTGTAAAGTATAATGGTTTCTACTAGCTCATTACCAATGAATTTGGCCTTAGAAGTCACAACAGGTTCATTAATAGATGATAAGAAATATAATCAATGATATAAATCTTCACTAAGTAATCTCTTAAATACATGCGGATCCCAAACCAGAGATAATGACAGGTACCAACAACAAAATGGCAATTAATAATGCTGACCAAAACACTTTACCTAATCGAAGTTACCATGAAATCTTAAACCAATAACTGTTTATTTATCTTTTGACAAAATCTTTCAGACATGGTAAATGGTCTATTTCCATAATTTAGCATTTCATTGTTACTATTTGCAAAACAGGTTTTGTATTGACATTCTTTTCCAAAATATCCACTAACACACAAACAAGTATTGACACCTACACAAGCTCCTCTTCCATTACAATTATTAACTCTTTCACAACTATATTGAGAACACTCTAAATTTCCTTTCCAACCATCTTGACATTGACAAGTATTATTCAAAACACAACTGCCATGCCCATTGCAATTATTCAAACCATCACAACTGAATTGAGAACATTGTACATTTCCTTTCCATCCAGAATCACATAAACAACTATTTGTGGCCAAACAATTTCCATGACCATTACAAACAGTTGCAAGATTGTTCTTGATTCCAAAACAAGAAAATTCACAAGTTCCATTCACTAGCTTTCCATCCAAACAGTAAGGAACTAACTTTCTAACTCTATTATTGTTATTATCGCAAAAGTAAATGGTTCCATTCGAATCTACAGCTATTCCAGTTGGCTTACTGATATCAGCACTTGTTGCTAAACCGCCATCACCAGAATAACCAAAATTACCAGTGCCCGCTATGGTTGTAATGATTCCATCTGGAGTAATTCGACGAATGACTTGATTATCCGAATCAGTAAAAAAAATTTCACCATGTTTACCTATGGCTATACTTTTTGGATATCTAATCACAGCATTAATTGCCAATCCACCATCTCCACTATACCCATAAGCTCCAGTACCTGCTATGGTTGTAATTTTTCCAGTACTATACGAAACTTTACAAATTCTAGATGATCCTACTAATGGGATGTATAAATCACCATTTGGACCTGTTGCAATATAATAAGGACTGTTAATATTAGCATTAACAGCCAAAATGTCATCAGCTCCATACTCTGTATTTCCAGTTCCAACATATGTTGAAATGATTCCACTCGAATCTACCTTACGAATTCGATTATTCGAAAAATCTGAAATGTAAACATCACCTGTTAATGGATTAACTGAAACTCCATACGGATGGTTAAAAATAGCATTCGTTGCCAATCCATTATCTCCTCCAAATCCTCCACCATTTAAAATTCCAGCAAATTCTTGAATTGTTCCATTCACCAAAATCTTTCGAACCATGTGAGTTCCATATTCCACAAGATAAATTTCATCTTTATCGTTAACTGTAATTCCTGCAGGGTAGCCAAGCATTGCATTAGTTGCCAAACCTCCATTTCCACTACTATCACCAGAAGTTCCAAATCCTGCTATCGTTGTAACATATCCATTTTTATCAACCTTTCTAACACGACCATAAAAATTCTGTACTACTAATACTTCTCCTTTAGAATTGACTGCAACTCCTTCAGTATATTCTACTTTGGCATTCACAGCCAATCCACCATCTCCTAAAACACTACCACCTCCCAAAAAATTGGAAATGTTATAAACTGGATAGGTAGTAGCATGTGATAGTTTCAGTGATGTGCAAAGGAGAAGAAGGAAAGAGATGAAGAGTGCAGTCATTTTTTTAAGAGTTTGAAAATAGTGAAAAATGATTGATCCGTAACAAAAGTGAGATTGTAATCGAATACAAATTATTACGGATAGTTTTACAAGTTTCAGTGAAATTCTAAATATTAACTTGATTTATTAATATTCCTTTCCTCTTCTATGCTGGTTTTTGATTGACTTTTCTTGATTCATCAAGAACAGACTTCATAATAGGCTGTGTAATGTAGCCTGCTTGGCCTTTCAACAAAGATGGTGTGATTGGTCAATTCATAGTTGACTGGATAAGGATCATATTTGATAGAACTAGCATAATCTTCCCAACTCATGTAAGCTTATGGAGAATCAATAATATTAAGAGCATTTGGACCAGTTGGTCTCACGTCATTAATTTCTGGAGTTCAAGCACCACCTTGTATGTTGAATTCAACAGAGGAGTGTTGAATGAATGCTTGAGACAGCTTCTTCAGGTAATAATCACGAGTAGGTAAGGTCTTTCTTAAAGTTAAGCTTAAAGAAGATACCATCTCCCATTGTGGTCTTGGTAACAACAGCGGTACCATAATAGTAATCAAGGAACTTCTTGTACTTATTTCTAACATCTTGATTTGCACCAGCAGGGGAGTGAATCAATCAATCTCTTGGAAAACTCAAATCATACCGAAATTCTTCGAAAAGTATTCAATTGATATTGATCTTCAGATTCATATCTATAATTGTAAATAAAGACATCTAGAGTGGTGGCTCAAACAGAACATGCCAGAGTGAGAGGTGTGTTCTCTGTATTGATAATCATATTCTTGCTTGGTCAACGCAATAAAAGTACTGTTGGCATAATAAGATTCAGCATTATTTGGAATGTTTGATGAATGTGTCCAAATGTAGTGTTTTAACCTGCAGTAATGCCTACTTGTCCAACATTTACAGAGAATGAAAAGGAATAAAAAGGAATAACTGGATGCTTCATATTTCAATGATTCAGCCATACTTTCCATTGTATCAGATGTTGTAATATTGGTGGTAACACTAGTCAGGAACTTTACAGTATTCCTTTGATGGCAATAGTTTTAGATGTTCTCTCCAAGGTTACGGTCAACTCGAAGGAAATTACTACAACATCATCTAACACAGTTTTGAATATCTTGAGTAATCTTACATCCTCCACTTTAACAGGTGCCATGAATCCAAGTTCTTGATGTTACCGATAATATCATTCCAATCCATCTACCTCAACCTCAGCAGCTTCTGAATCAATCAAAAATATCTTGTCATCTGCTACCAAGGGTATTGTTACTGAACTTGCTGCCAATTTGACTTCAGTCATTTTCATGATTGATATCTTGGATACCAATCTCTACTCCTTCAGCTTCTCCTTCCACTGGTACTGCTGTAACGCCAAAGGTTAGTGCAAAGAAATTGCTTAGGGTGAAAGATTGAATGCCCAAGGATCCCCGCTATTGTCATGGTGATGATTTTAGGCTTGTTGCTGGTGATGTAAGAAATAAATTCTTTTTGTTGTTTTTTAATGTTGGTAAAGCGGCCATTTTTACCGACAATTAGAACAAATTCAAATATTACAAGATTCTTTTTAAACCAATAACAAAAAACAAGAAACAACTTCATATCATCACAATATATGACAATTTTTATTGTGTCAATGAAGTCTGGTCATCAGACAAGGCTGTCATGATTGGATTCTCGGAAGCCACAGGTGGAACAACAGTATTATTACCAACAACTTGAATATCCAGTGGATTATCGTGATACCTTTCATTCATCAAGTAACAAGTACATACACCCTTTCCTTTCACATCAATACTTCTTTCTTCAAATTCAAATCCTAAATCGTACACTCTATAAAGTAGAATAATATATCAACAAATAGAAGATTTTAACACATACCTTTCATAGGTTGATCGTGAAATTTGAATACGCCCTGGCTTGCTGTTAGATTCCATTCTGGAGGCAGTGTTGATTGTATCCTTGATGTTTGGTTAGTATTTGAATTTTAATTATAATTTACTTACTCCCCACAGATCCTAATAATAATTATTCATCATTCAGCATCAGTATGAAAATATTAAACAATTAATAATGTTTTAATAATAACAACACTCACATATGCAAATTTCTATTCAACAATTATCATCATGAATATTATTAATAACAATTATAAAAACTTACCTTCTTTCCTATAACACCAGCTACAACTGATCCAGTATTAATACCAATTCTATATAGATGGATGAGCACAACAACAATATTAACATCTACCTAAATATTACAAATAATAATAATACTAACCTAATATTGATAACCTTCTCTCCATTTGTAGCTTGGTTGAATCCTCTAATTACACTAAAACAATCCATAGCAAATCGGAGCGTTCTTTCAGGGTGATCAGATTGTGGATTGATTGGTAAACCTCCAACACAAAAGTATGCATCTCCAATAGTTTTAATCTTTTCCAATTCATACTTGTCAGTCAAATCATCAAATCCATTCACTACATTATTCAATAGTAATATCAAATCAGATGGATTCATATCCGATGATAATGCTGTAAATCCAACCCTATTTAATTTGAGTAATATTAATATATTGAATAATAATTATGGAATATATATGAATATTATGAATAATAATAATTGTGGAATACTTACATATCTGAAAAGAATACACTAACATCATTAAATCTTTCAGCAACAAAGCTGTTACCACTCTTCAATTTCAATGCAACAGATTCTGGTAGAATATTTCTCAACAACTTTTCAGAATTCTTCTTTTCTTCACTTAGTAATGTATTTGCCTTCTTTTCTGTAGTAATATCCTTGATAAAGCATACAATGACAACCTTATTATCACCATCTCTTGTGACGAAAATATTAACTTGTGCAGGGAATGTGGATAGATTCTTTCTGATACAATTCAACTCCATAACTTCACCATTCTTATTGTTCTCTCCTTCAACAAGGTAATCTCTACAATTTCTGGCAATGTCTATTAATTTAGATTCGTTGGCCTTATCAAATAATGAGTAGAATTTGAGTCCCATTACTTCTGAAGGAATTTTAGAGAATAGTCTTTGACATGCAGTGTTGAATAGAAGAATTTCTCCCTTCTCGTTAGAAAGCACTGCACCATCAACCATGGAATGAAGTAAATTGTTGAGTGTATCACTTCCCTTCTTTAAATTATTCCTTTGATTAACGAGTGGCAAGGAATTATAGAAAACAAAATTCTTTACAGTTTCATTCGATTCAATCCACTCGTAAGGTAAATAGTTCAACATTCCTCTCAAACTGGAAACTTGTCTGTCATAGGTAATAATAGATAAATACATGGTGTAATTGGAAATTAACAAGACTATCAATCCAGCAATAAAAAGTCCAATAGTTGATGATAAACTAGCTTGACCAGTATAGGTAACCAACAAATCCATGAAATCAACAAGCTTTTCGAAAACCATATCGTTCATATTATACATTTTTACAAGATAATTCAACACTTCTTTAGAGTTTTTGGCATAGATTGGATTGAAAAAGTTTTCAGACATTCCTCCACCCAAAATAGTATAAATTGATACCATTTGTTCCAAACTTCCACAATACAATAAGGTAACATTATCACAAGTAGGATCTCCCTTTAACATTTCATCAATTTTAGGGTAAATGCCAATAATTGAGTTTGTACTGTTAGTTCCGTAAACTAATTGAGAGAATAGAGATTGTACAGTTGTTGTAAATGTTCTCACATCTGCTCTGTATTGTGCAATAACAGAAGCGGTAACAATAGCAGGATTATTTACCGATTTTCCTAGTGGAATACTGAGATAGGAAAACATTTCATTCAATCTCAGAGTAATTCTATTGGTTGTTCTGATCATTAGAGATGCAATATCAACATTTTGCATGGCAATATTTGCTCTTTCAACATTTGTCAACATTTCCTGATAGAAAATTCCAGAACAAACCAAAAATATTGCAATAATAATAAATGAAACAATTACTGTTGTATGTTTTGGTTTTGGAAGTCGTTTCTTTTTAAGTCCTTTAAGCTCATCATTCTTATGTTTCTTATCCAACTCTTGAAAAATAACTCCAATAATATCCTTCGAAATGGTTTTATATAGTTTAAATATAATTGAAGATTTTTCCATTTCTAATCTTGAAATTGAGATACTAATTAGAATTATAGTAGAAAATCCAACAGAGCATCCAAGCAGAATTTGGCCTAGGATATCTCTAGATTCTTGAATGTGAATTTTTTCACTTTCTTGAAATCTGTAAGATGATATTAAGATAGCATTCAAAATTTAAAAACTTACGCTTTGCAAAAGGTGTAAAAAGCATCAGCTGCATACTTTCTATTTTGAAAAATGTACATGAATGGATAACTATTTAGAGATTTGTTATAGTCTATTTGTAATTCTAGAACAGAATTGGCATGGGTTAATAATTCTTGAGTAATTTCTCTGACTGATGTTGTTTTTTTGAATGTGTTTGTATATTCTAGAAGTGTGTTTGAAGATGTATCGTTAGAAATTGGTACCATTATGGTCTTGTCCTCAACTGTATAGTCCTGATACATTCTTTCAGAAAAAGATCCTGATTGTGAAACAGCTTGAAGGTTCAATAAATTTTGTTGTTGGAAAGTAAAAGCTTTGGTATAATAGCTCATATAGGTCTGTAATTCTTGGTACTCTACGGTTCCATTTTCAGGTATTTTCCATTTCAAATTTCCATATGTTTCAGTTAGAATTTGCATCAATCTAATATCTCGAAGCATTGCACCAGGTGAACTCATAGTAAGACAGCTGGATTTTACCAAATATGTTTTCGTAACTTCAATATCATAATAAACAGAGACAGAAAAAATAGCAGCCAATAAAAGAACTGAGAGTACAGCAAGTCCTATGAAAATAGATTTTCTAATAGAGGATTCATATGGAGTGTTTAAAGCATTTCTAAAGACAGCAGCCCGACGGTAGTGAAGTTGTTGTGGAGTTAATTCTTCTTCTACCCCACGAAAATCATCTGAATCTTCGAGTATTTGTTTGTCGATAACACTCAATTCCGGAGTAATGGTGTGATTTGTAGGAGATGATGGTCTTCTTTGGGTAAAAGATGTAAGACTATTTTCACTGGTTCTCAAATTGTCTGAAAAACTGTGAGAATTTGCTGGAGCTACTCGGTTGGTTTTGAATTTGGATCCCTTTCTTGAGGTGTTGAAGAGATAGGTTGAAGTTCTCGAGTTTTTAGATTCTTCCTCTTCTAAAACTTGTGCTTCTTCAAAGAGTCCAGTAGATAGTTCCTTATCCAACTTGATATTTTCAACATAATTAGCATAGTATCTTATCACTGTTTTATCATGAGGAAAGTTTGCTAGTAAGTGCTCATAGGATTCATCACAGTATGTCATAATTTCTGCTGAAATAGCATTGATAGTGTAGATTTTCTCCTCTTTAGGACGTTCTGCTGTCATTTCTTTCCAAAATGCTCTATGTACATTCTTCAATTCCTCTTGCTTTTGTTCCAGTTTATCCAAAAGTGCTTTCACTTCCAAATTTCCTCTTCCATTATGTGACTTGTCAATATGCATTTCCATATCTCTACATCTGCACAAGACTGAAAGTTTTACAAAATAATTATTGTTATGATTCTTCTCAGTTCTCTTCAATAGATAAAGTGCAAAGGAATACCTATTAGGATCAGTCCATTGATGAGAAATAAATAAGGAAGAGTACAATAATAGGATTGGTGAATCGAAATTCTTCTTGGGAGCATATGTCTTGATGAATACCAAAATGATATTGCTATCCGTTCTTTCGTTAACAGCATAGCCAACCTTTTTCTTGATATTGAATTGCATATACATTCTGAATGCTGTTAGTGATGTGTTTGAAATGGTCGAAAATATCTCAGCACAGTATCTTTCCATTATGCTTGTCAAGCCATCATCCTCTGACATGGAGTCTGTTGTTTGGTTCAAGAATTGGTGGAAAATCTTTCTAATTTTATGTACCATTAATCTTGTGTAAATTTCCATAACAATATATCCAATTGACATGAAAATTATTGTTAATCCAAATACCAGACCAAGCATTCCAGCTCCCAAATTATTATCGTTTGAAGTATTTACAAGGCAGCTAATCAAAACTCCAATACTTGATCCAAATGAACCAAATAATACTGCAGAATAAACAGAGTTTTCATATCTTTTAAAGAATGGCACTCCAAAAAAAAGATAGACTATTGAAACAATTGAAAATACTGCGTGTACAATAGCTCTCAAATAAAGTAGATAATATGGAATTGCAAAAACAATACCAATTCTAAAAATGGTGTTTCCAATAATTCCCATCAATGTGAATTGGTTTTCAGAAAGAAAGGGTATGGAAGATTCTGGATTACCCATTGGAAGAATATGTACAGCCATCAAAGAACTTCCCAACAAGATGGCCATTCCTATATAGTTAATTACAATGAGAATGACATTGCTTGAATCGTAGCATGCATAGGTTGGAAACCTGATCAGTGGATATACATCAAAACCATCCACACTTATTGTTGTTTTCAAATCACAATCAATAAAACTAGTCATTACAAAGATACTGAAAGGAGCAAAAACAAGAACAAGGAAGGAAAATATGCCCACAAAAGAATTGAGTCGTTTCTTGGCGCTTCCATAGAGTTTTTTGTGAGTGTAAACAACCAAGAGTGGGAAGCATGAGTAAAGTAATATGATGACTGATGACAGTGCAATAGTAAAATAATAGGGAGCACTAAGAGTATCAACGCCAAACGTTATGAAGTAGTTCAAAACTCTAAATACAAAACCACCATAGTATCCAAAGGGAGAGGGAAACTCTGAATTCTTGATGCATATTGTGTTGTATCTGATGTATAGAGGTTTGGATAATATGTTGATAGAGTAGGTATTATTAAGATGACGAAAAAGAAATAGATATGAAACAAATAATAGATTGATTGCCATTTTCTTCCATTTCTGCTCTCGGAAGATTTGGCCATTGCTAGAAAATTAAAAAGCTTATCATATATTATGCTCTTCATGAAGGAAAATGCGCCCTTGCTGATATTTGATTGGGTATTTGATGAAGAGCTAACAATTGAGCCACCATTTTCCTTACTACTATTATCTAATTGATGATGATGATGTTTGAGAGCACCACTGTTGCCGATATCATGTGATTCGCTCATAACGGTGTTCTTTTTTTCTTGCTTTTAAAAGGCTTCTTCCTTAATGGTAGGTGAAGAATATTACATTCGCCCATCAACCTCCATCACATCGCCATCATTAGGCTTCTGTACAAATAAGAGGCAAGCAAAGACCCATTGTAGCTGGCTAAACAGCTAAAGTAAATTTTCATGCACATACCTGAATTTCTACGAGAAACTACAATTGATCTACAATAATTGTTACAGCGGGCAAACATGATTTTTCTTCTCAAATGTTGACACATTTCAAAGTCAATCATCTCTTTTAAATAAATGGAAATTGAAAATGAAGTATTTGGTAGGTCAAAATATTGTTGTTAATATTTACCACTGGGATGAAGGCTTGCAACTGGGTAGAGAACATCCCTCAATAATTGTCCATAATCATTTGTCCACGCTCCATCCATATCTCGAACTGCTTGCGAGTTGATAGTGGTTTCTATTAATTTTGAATAGTTGCTTATTTGTACATATGTGCTTTCCGATATAGAGTCAACCAATTGTTGGCTGATCATTGAATAGACACAAAATAGTACATCTTTACCCTCTTTTCCGCTTATCTTATTCATAGAGTAAATGTGCAGCCTTGCTTCTTTTGCGGCCATTACCACACGATCATGATTCAACCAATTTTCACACACCACAAACACACCACTCATTGGTTTCATGGCAACAGACGCAGCTTGGCAGTAGGCCTCTATTCCTCCTCTGAATTCACATCTTGCAGGACAAGAGTCCTTATTAGAAGGCATACCACCTTGTCTTATTAATGCTTCTTCCACCTTGTTGCTATTATGTTTGAAATTTACTCTAAAGTAAGGAGGGGTGCCTGTTACTAGATCGAAAAAACCACTTCCTTCAGGTAATACATTCATCATGGTATTGGAATTAATTTCTCGAAAATCTCTATTTCTCACCTGAATACGAGTTGAATCCAATCCACAATTGAAAGCAATGCTCCTACGGGCGAGAGAGACAGCTTCACTTCTTGCCTCAACTCCAATGCATTTGGTTGTGAGTGGCATATTCCGAGCTACCATCATTAGAACAGAACCATTTCCACATCCGATATCTAAATAATTTGAAATCAAATCTTCCCATTTGATATCAGCATCTTCTTCCTCGATTGAAATATCAGTAGACGATGAAGATGATGATGATGGTTGATTTTCTCTGTTAAATTTCCTAATGAGAGGTAAAATAGTTTTCACTGCAGTACATGCTGCCCAAGCTGTAACAATATCATCAGTAGTCCAACGATGTCCTCCTTTCTTTTGGAATATTCTCCATCCTCCAACAAGACCACACAATTGTTCTCCTTCTTTTGGTTGGAGTTCTTCTTGTGTGAGAAGTACTTGATTTAAATGTTCTACATTATCATAGCTAGAACCTTCTTGCTCGTCTCCTAGTCCTACTATTTTGTTCCAATCACTTGGAATGGAAACTTGAGTAATTTCTCCCATCCGACTTTTGGCTTCCAATAATTGTTTTTTAATTTTCAACCTTTTCATGCCTTTACAAACTTTACATGGTGGAATTTCATCATCTATTAAATTATTATTATTACTATTATTATTAATTATATGATTATTATTTGATGATTTGGGAGGTTTTGGTCCTTTTCTTTTTTGCAAGCCAGTGCCATCACATTTCCAGCACAATGGTCCAAGATTTTCCTCCTCCGAAGGTGTTGCTGATGAGATGATGATGAATCTATTGCTGCAGTATTGCTGGTATTAAAACCTGGTGCATCGTCAGAAAGACTCAGAGAAAGAGGCACAAAGAGGGAGTAGGACATTTTTTTCTTCCTTAAGAATCCCAAGCTCCGAAATACTAAATTACAATGACTGAAATTACTGAACACATATTTGCTTAATAGATCAATTTATAGAAGAAAAAAAGTTCTTATTGCATGTAATCATTCATGATAACTGAATAAATTTAAATGTTTTCTTTATTGATTCTTATGTTTTCTTGAAAGGTATTTTACCAATCTCTCAAATTCATGGAAGTGGAGTGCAATGATCTGCTTTTGGACAATTAGCAGGTAATCTAAATCTCTCAACATACAACTTTCCAACCATGTTATAATAATTGAATGATTGAACAATCATTTTGGAAAAAACATTTCTATTCAAAATCCAACAATTTCCATCTTGATTGAAAATGGTACTTTCAATTCTTGTTTGTCCATTTTCTTCGAGGTAAACCAAACGATTGGCAACTAATCCACCAATCACAATCTTTTCATTTTCAATTGGGTTTCCAATAGGATAACATATTTGGTCGAAATGAGTTTTCTTGATTTGGACACAGGTGCAGGAACCTTGAGTGTTGGTGTAGGAAAGTTGTAGGCCATTAGAGTTATTGAGAAAGATCCAATTTGTGGCCACATTCACTTGACCTAAAGGTCCGGTTGTATACGAATCCAATCTTGACTTTCCTCCAATTGCATCAAAATCATATTCGAAAGTTCCACTGATGTGTTGGCTAGAGTTTCCAACAACTGTTTGCATGTAGCTGTATTTGTAATTGAAATTTGGAGGCAAGCAGCAAGACTCTTGTTTAGAAATTATTCGAAAGTGTTGATGTTTGACAGTTTGATAAATGAAAGGTGTTGAAAAGAATCAACACAACAATCAAACTCAAAGAGAAACGTGTTGGATCCATTTTTTATAATTGTTTTATTGCATCTCCGTAAAAGTTGAGGTTTGATTTATTTTCAATTTCATTCAAAAATCCAAATTAGAAACTCAATTATTCTTGACGAATTTTTCCAATTCATTAAACCAAAACTCAGGCACGTCTTGATATTGCCAAACATCAATTTCATCAATTCCAGAATTTTCAATCATTGAAATTCTTCTTCCTAGTTCAGTTTGGTTTACTCTCGAATCAATCATTAACCCTAAACCTAACTTTCTAATAGGAATTGTTGTAACTGCCTTTTTAAATGCAGAATCGAATTGTTCTGCACGAGCAGCATAGGTGTCCATGGTAATAATCTTGTCAACTCGACTTTCTGATAATAAATTCCAATCCCAGAAGAAACTCCAAGAAGCAATGCAAACAGTAAGTTTCTTTCCAACAAGATGAAGAGAATCCGCAAATCTATTCAAGAATTTTACAAAATTTGGAGCTAGTTGAGTTGTAATATCATTTCGAATAGGTTCAAAATCAATATTATATCCAGTTGTGTCTATATTCTTTTGATTTTCGACAGCTTGAATAATAAATCTATCCATAGTCGTCTCATTATTCAACAATTCTTGCAAATACGGAATATTAACAGTAGTTATCATTGGAAAAGTTTGCAAATTAGCCTTTTTTAGTAATGGCAACACATTACTAAAGTGATTATCCACAAACGATGAATATTCTCCCAAATTATAAGCCTATCCACCATTCCACATTATCAATTCCATCAATTCTCCATCAATTTTCCACACAACTTACTTCATAGGAAATTTGTGTAAATTCGCCTTCCCTTGCTCTCTCCAAAATATCATTCAAATCGTGAGTGATATTTTCGTGAGTGCGTTCGAGGCCCATCCAGTAGAGGACTTGACGTTTGGCGAGGAGATTGTGGGTGAGCTGAAGGAGGATGAATAAAAGGGCGAGAGGGAAGATTGTGAATTTAGCCATTTTTTTTGATGAGTTCACAAGAGTTTTTGTAAACTAAAGGTTGCTTTGGAAACTGAAAATGATAGAAAATGATGAGGAAAATGATGAGCTTAAAAAACGCTTTATTTTTCCAGTTTCGAATGCCCCTTGACAGATCTTGGTACGCAACTAATGTTGACAGAGTTGTAAAACAATTTGGAGAGAACAACTTATTAATGATCCTATCAAGGGGCCCAATACAATGCCTTTATTCTTTCTCGAAGACATGTATTGCTGTTCGTTTCTTTCGTTTTTTTTGCACAAGAGACGCTTGTTTGAAAGATCTTACTCTCGAGACAAGTATTTATAGTAATTTGAAATGAAGGTTTCAAAAATTGAAGTGATCATGTTGTAATGATAGTTCAGTCCCTTTACAATTTGCAATAATACAAAGTACAATTTTGAATCAGAAAAGTGATCTGAGAGAAACCAACACAAAATGACTTTTCTAACAAAGCAATTTTCTTTCCAGTAAAAGTTACCGTTACAAATTGTTGTTAAAAAAAATATGCATCAGGCAAAATATTGTGGGTTACTTCATCATCTTTATTCATCCCAAGTTGAGTCCAATTTATGAAAATCTACCTTCTGCTTCCTCTCCATAATATCCTCCTTCATACAAATCCATGACATGGACAGAGGTAAACAACACAAACAACCAACAACGAGAATGATGAAGGGAATCATTACTCCTCCGAGGATGAGTTCGAGCTGAGCATGTTCTTTCGGGAGGGAGAATGTCATGCCAAAGAAGAAGGAATTGGCATCATTGTAGTAGCATGGAATTGCGTCTGATGATGAAGAATTGGTAGTGATGGAGTAATTAATATTATTGTAAGTAATGATGATAGAAGAACTTTCCGTCATCAGAAGAATACGAGTGGATGATTCTAAATTTTGTTGATTGTCTAATGATGATGATTTTGTTGTTGTTGTTTTTCCTAACAATGACACTAAATTATTTTCCGTAATATTATTATTATTATTATTAATTGATTGATTAGATGATGATAGAGGTGTGATAATGCACGGAATGGTATTCGATTGATCCGAGAGTAATGATTCATCAAAGATAACTTGCATGGTTATGGTCAGGTTTCGTCTAGAAGTGGTCAAATCGTATTGTAGATAGAGTTGTTTTGATGAAGAGGTAACTCGACAATTAGAAGCAGAACAATCATTGTGATGAGCTCCACTCAATGGAACTGAAAGGAAGAATAATCCAATTGAAAGTATGGTCACGGTTGTCGTGATGGTCAACAGAGTAATCAATAGAAAACGTTCTCTGGCTTTCTTTGCTCTGGATTTCACTGGTGATGACATTTTATTATGGTAAATTAGTGTCAAATTTCACATTGTGGATAGATAATTGCCATGAGTACAACATTTTCCTTATTTTAAAATTTTTCTTCTAAGGGGTGTTAGCTCAGATGGGAGAGCGCCCGCTCTGCAAGCGGGAGGTCAGGTGTTCAAATCACTCTATACTCCACCGAAAAGTTTTATAATTTTCAATACTTATTATCAACAATATGTATTATCAAATATTTCATTCTTAATAATCTAATTTGTAATTTACTTTTATTTTTTTATTTTTTCAAAATTTACAGTAGACCATTGGTATTAAATTGGTTCAACAAACTCCAATTAAGGATCCATCAATGTGTGTAATTTTGTGTTTAATAATAACATTAAACAACAAAGAAGAACTTCAAAAAAGAGGAACACCATCTTGCCCTCATCATCTCTTCACTTATCGCCATCGAGTGATTTATAATAGAAAAAGACAATGAGGAATAATTTATCAATAAGCAGTATTAATAATACTTCAACTTATTCACCTTCTTCATCTCCCCGATCCCTTGATTCTGCTTATTCATCATCGTCTCCCTCAACATCACCATCATCAAATTCTGAACGTAAATTTTCTCTTCAAAAACACGAAAGAGATTTAATTGCTCATTCCAATGTTACGGCCTTTCGACCTTTAATCAATGAAATGGCACCCGAATTTGGTGAGAATGTGCTTTCGGAACACAATTTATCAATTATGGAGGAGGAATACTTGGAAATTGTGCAACATTTGGTCGATCAATTGATTTATAAGGAACATGCAGATAAATATTGGAGGAATTATTATTCTGCATTGCAAATATTGTATGTTTTGGGATTGTCTGCTGTGAATGATGGGAGGTATTTGACGAATTTGAAACAGGATTTGATAAATAGTGTGACGAAGAGTATAACTGTGAAAAATTTAGTTGTCATGTTCGAGAAAATTGATGGTTTACAACAGAATTTCATTGAGAATTTCAATAAGGTGAATTATTTGTTAGATCTATTACATAATTATTGTATTGAGTTTACAGTGGTGGCTTTTGAGCATCCTAAAGTTGGTTGTTCCAAGAAATTGTTGGATAGTCCAATAATTATACGGAACTATGCAAAGATTATGGCCAAAGTCAACCTTACCAAGCCAACCCAAATCAAATTAACTTGCAACGACAAATTACCATCATCAATATTGCAAGCATTGAAGAAATTGTACAATCAAGAGTCGACCAGTGATGTGAAAATCATTTTGGGTTCAAAACTTTCCTTAAATTGCCACAAAACTGTTTTGGCTTCGAGTAGTTCACATTTTAGAATTTGGTTTGAGAAAAATTTTGATTCCAATGTTTACACACCAGTGAGGGATGACCATTGACATTGATAACAAGAAGATTACAACTCTTGTGAATATGAGCATGGCACATAATATGGATTTTGTGGTGGACTTTTATCATGCCATTGTTCCTTTCAATAGGCTTCGTGGTTCAATTCAAACTAGGAAAAAGTAAATCTGAAACTTTTTCAAATTCATCTAAAGATGAAAACTTGATCTAATTTGTTATCAGAAACTAGAAGAGTTCCAGTCGAATCATCAATCACCACTGAAGTTGGTGTTTTCAATTGAACTTGTTCCATATTCGAATTCTTTCCTCCAAAATATTCCACAAATTCCAACTTGTCCAAGTCAATCAGCGAAATTCTATTATTTGAAGCATCACACACATATAATCTATTCATCTTCTCTTCCAAGAATATTCCTCTAGGATATGAAAATTCATCCAACTCTTTTCCATACTTTCCAAGTGAGTGTAATAATTGTCTAGTTTTGTAATCTAAAATTTTCACACGTTGACCAGCCATTTCGCTCACTAAAATCCATTTCTTTTTAGAATCGATTAGAATAGAGACTGCTGAACTGAATTTCTCCTTTCTTTTCAGAAATAATTGATTGAGAATGCTTCCATCAAGGGCATTCAACATGACAATTCTTCTCTTGGTTGAATCACAAACATACAAGACAGAATTCAAATATTCTTGGTTGAATCTCTCAAAGAATAGCCCATACTCTGCACTTAGTTCATTTCTTTCCAATAATTCTCGAGTATTCCACAATTCCTCAACATGAAGTTTCTTTTCATTTTCTTCCATCACTACAGTAACTTTCATCTTGATTAAAACCTGATTCGAACAAGTAATGTATAGTAATAATGAATTCTCATCTGCATAATATCCACACTGATCATGCCACTCTTCAATTTCCACATATTGAGGTTGAGTTTTCATCCGAATCGAATACAAGTATTCAAAATTAAATCTGTCATATATTTGTACTCTCTTATTTCCCGAATCACATATTAACAACCAATTCATCAATTTGCTAATTTTTAAACCCATAGGATCATTCAACAAATATTCGGAAGAGCCTTTTCGTTTGCACTCACCAATCGTGTGCACGAGTTTAAAGTTTGTGGTGTGAAATTCGTGTGAATTTTGCAATAATTTAGTTCGCATTTGTGTTGATAATTTTATAAACAACCAATCACTTCCGATATCACCAAACGATTGAGACAAATCATCATCCAATAATAAAACAACTTGTTGCATTTTTTTCTTATCAAAATTTTATAAATATTCGTAAATATTTAATTTATTATTAAATAATATTATTAAACATTGTTCATTGAGAGTTTTTGGACAATTTCATCTGTGGAAATTCTCTCCTCTGGATTAAATCTCAACATTTCCAACATTAAATCACAAATGATTTTGTAAAGTTTGTGTGAATGATCTGAACGTTTTGAAAAGAATTTTTCAACATTTCCTATGATTTGAACATCTGATTGGTCATTCATTGAGGTTTGTTTCACTCTCATCAAACAAGTATTGTAATCTGCTGATAATAATTGATATAAAATACATCCAAGACTCCAAACATCACTTTTTGGTGAAAATTCTGCTTTTACAATTGACTCTGGTGAACTGTATTGAATTGTTCCTTCATAAGCAGTTAAAGAAGATCTTGTTTGATATCTTGAAGATCCCCAATCTCCAACACAAAGTTGGAAAGATGAAACATTCACATTATTCTTTGAAAGATCAGGTGATTTTGAAACAAATATATTACTTTGTTTCAAATCTCTGTGTACCATGTTCTTAGAATGGAGATATTGAAGTGCTGATGCAATTTGTTTCACAATTTCGACAATTATTTCGATTGGAACCGTCTCCTTATTGGAATACATCCAATTTCTCAAATCACATTTGTATAATGGCATCAAGATACAAATATATCCTCCATTTTCAACCATTGTACATCCTAGAATTGGAACAATGTGAGGATTTGCTTCTTCACTCAATTCAAACATGTTCACAACTTCCTTAAATTCGCTTCCATTTGGATTTAAAACTTCAATAATTTTCACAGCAACTTGTTCCTTATTGGTCAACTCATCAAACATGAAAACTGTTCCACTTGCACCTGATCCCAATTTCTTTGATTTCACATATTCTTTATCTCTAATATGGAAATGATCTCTTGTGTTAATGGTTGATACAGAAGATGTTGTACTTGAACTACCCAGTTGCTTTCTAATTGACCGTATAAAGCTATTTTCAGATTTAACAGAAGAGGCTGTACTTTTCACAGTTGCCTCCTCTGGAGGAATAACAGTTCTCAAAGTCCAATCGTCGTTAACAGATTTTGGAATCAAATTCTCAAATTCCTCTGATTTGGAACTTGCTCGTTTCTTGTAATAAACAAAACCACCAACTGCTATGAAAGCAATCAAACAACAAATGAAAAGCAACACAACAATGACAACAGCTGCAACAGTTCCACCATTTCCTGATGACTTCTTTTCTTGACAATACAGCCCATCAAATCCTTCGTTACATTTACAAATTGTTGAGTTTTGTCTGGTTTGATCATTGTCAATAACAGTACAGTTTCCATTTGAAGAACAGCCCTTAGTAGAATTAATGGATTGATCATTTGAAGAGGGATTACAATCAAGCCACTGACATTGTTGTCCAAAATAGAGAGGGAAACAACTGCACTTGTCAGTATTTGAACAATATCCATTATTGCTGCAACCTGCTTGACCCCATTTACCAAAGCACATTCTATCGTTACATCCATTTCCACCATAACCAGTACTACATTTACAAGTATTATTAGAAATGCATTGACCATGAGGTTGACAATTATTGACACCATCACATGTAAATTGAGTGCAAATACTATTTCCTCTCCATCCACTAAAGCAATTACATGTATTATTGGAAATGCACTGTCCGTGTGAATTGCAAACTGCTGGATTATTTGCTGGAATTCCATTACAAAGTGGAATGTCACATAAATCACCAATCCAGCCATCTTGACATTTGTAGGTATTAGGTCCAATACAATACTCTCCATGTTCAGATTTTACATCACATGAAAATGCACTGCAATCTGAATTGCCTCTCCATCCACTCACACAATTACATGTATTATTGGAAATACATTTACCGTGTGAACTGCATACTGTTGTGGTGTTTGCTGGAGTTCCAAAGCAAACTGGTTCCTGGCAATTTAATCCTGTCCACCCATCTTGACAAGAAAATTGATTTGGACCAATACATTGTGAAGAATGAGGTGGTGGTGTAATGTCACATGAAAATGTTCCACAATTCAAATTTCCTCTCCATCCACTATCACAAACACACTTTCCATTCACACAACTGCCATGATTATTGCATGTATTCTTATCAATACAACTTCCTGAATCTCCCTCCATATACAGCTTGACCCATAATTGTGTTGAATACAACAAATCTCCATTCGGTGTCAATGTAACACCATTCAAGTCCGAAAGTCCGCCACTAACAATAAGAGTAATAATTGTTCCATTTCTGAAAACTTTTCTTACAGCTCTATTTCCCCAATCTAGTAGATGAATCGTTTAAAAATTACATTAAATTTCTTCAAAACATACCTGCAATATAAACTTCACCTGTGGAGGAAACTGTAACATCTGCAGGATAGTTCAACTTGGCATTTCTGGCTGGTCCTCCATCTCCTGAATAACCTGCATAACCATTTCCAGCAACAGTACTCAATTGTGAATTACTGTATTTCATTATTTTGTGATTTCCTTGACTGGCGATATAAAGATCACCATTTGGCGTGTACATTATTCCATTTGGTCCGTTAATTCCATCATTATTAGGATTATTGCTTAATAGGGGTATAACTGTCAAGTCATTTTGTATTCTTCTAATTCTGTTATTATTAGTGTCAGCAAAATCAAACAAAAATTGACCTTTCATGCTTGTTGGAGGTGTTGCCAGTCCTTGTGGACCATTTAATTGGCATTGACTTGCAGGCCCATAATCTCCACTATTTCCTTGCGTTCCTGTACCAACTATTGTAGTTATAATTCCATTTGAATCAATTTTTCTAATTCTGTTATTACCTGTATCTGAAATGATTAAATCTCCGGAATCCAATTGTAAAACAGTATTTGGTCTAGTCATCAGAGCTATGGTTGCAGGGATACTGTCTTGATTATATCCAAATTGTGTAATACTTCCAGCAATTCTTGTCACTAATCCAGAATTCAAATCTACCTTTACAACAGCAGAATTAAAAATTGGGAAATACAATTGATTACTTGAAGTTAGTCTCATTTGTTGTGGACTAGGCATGTAAACACTCAATGCATTATGTGGATTATCAAACTGGAATCCAGAGTCATACATGCCATATAATGGTGTTGTAGAAGTACTTGGTAAATCGCTATCAATAAAGTTAAACGAAACAATTTGACTTCTCTTTGTTGTGTAATCTTGACCTGTGAGGAAGTATACATTTTTAGAATTGTCTGCTTGTTTCACAAGTCCAAAATAAGTATTTCTTGCCCAAGAAGATGACAATACCACATTAGTATTTGGTTGTGCTTGATCCTTGTTAAATTGTATAAAACGTGCTAGTCCTAGATCTGAAATCAACAAGTTGGATGCATCATAGGCGACAACATGTACTGGATTGTTCATAGACATGGATACAGGAGCTTCATATGCCGAATTGGTTGGAGTAACAATAATAACTCTTCTTCCATCTGCAATTGCCTTGGTTCCATCTGGGAAGAAAGAGATACTTGTAGGTTTGATAAGTTTACACGTGGTGGCATAAACATTATCACAATAATTATTGTTATTCATATTATTCAAACTTCCAACACTAATTGTTGCTGTACCAACATTTCTATAGGTAATTTGCACTTTCCACACAACAGCTTTTCCTGTATCTGCCACATAAATATCCTTATTGAACATGGTAATACCACTTGGTTGAGAAAATGAGTTTAAATTAGTTCCACTGAATGTAATGAGCATTTTAGAAATTATTCCACTCTTCATGTCCAATAATCTAATAGATGACGAATCCAAAATGTAGAGAAAATCTGTAGTAGCATCATAATACATATTCGTAGGTCCATACAAGGTAGATTCTGTTCCAGGAACTGAATCAGCACCGTTTGGTAAACATTCACCTGTTCCTGCCACCACTCGACTTTGATTTCCAATGATCTGTCTCACAACACACAAATTTCCATCAGAAACATAAAAAGTTGGCAACAATGAAGGATCACTGTTTGGCACCACAAATATACCCGTACCATACAGTGGAAAATTCCAAGCCTCGTCTGTATTACCCACACTACCAGCAACTGCTATTGTTGTGGGAGATGCTTCCGAATGTTCCACAACAACCAGCATCATTATTATAACAACAATCATCAGTGTGATCAAACCACTCCTTGTTGTCAATGATGATGACAGCACTGCTCTGTGCTGATTTATCTCGTTGCAACTAGCTTCATGGAAGAATCTGAAGGTCGTACCTTTTCTTTTTGATATTTGCTGGAGTGGTACTTTCTCCATTTTTTTTCACTTTTAAAGAGTTTTGTTTAACCAATAGTGGCACACTTAATTGGAAGTGTTATCATTGCTTGTGTGAGACTCCGAAGGGTAACCCTCTAAAATCACGTATGAAAGATTTAGATAGTTGGATAAATACTTATGAGTGTGTTATTGTTTGACTTTCTTGGTTGGTGGATCAGTAGTTGAGGATGATACAGATTCAGAGGCTGGTCTTGCATGTGGTTTCTGATCTGATTTGGTGGCATACTCAATGTATTGTTTGAGAACAGTTTCGGCTGAGGTCACAATTGCCTTCTTGGCTTCGAGAGTTGTACGAATCTTGGTTAGTTTGAGAGTTTGAGGTGAGCCATGTTTGATTGTTTCTCTCTTAATGTCCTCAATGCCATTTAGAATGGTTTCCACATGTGTTCTGGCATCCTTCTTCTCCTTGAAAGAAAATTCCATTTCATTGGATTTAAGGAATTTCTTTACACTTTTACAATGATTACATTTGCACTTGATTTTAACATGTTTGAAAACCCATTCACTCGTAGAGTCAACTCCAAGGTCAAAGTCAATTGGTATATTTACATTTGAAGCTGCAGTGTATAAAAGTTTGTAGCAATGTTCCAAAACTAATCTCAATCCTGATCCAGTCCAAAAACATTCAGTTCCATTTTCCTTGATTAATTTTTGTACTAGAGAATGACCATGTTTTGCTTTGGTAATCTTTTCAACTAGCACTTTTGCAATACTCATTTCCTCTGTAATCTTGTCATTCTTTCTACAAAATGTTAGTAATTGGGCACATTCTTCAGATGGATCTTCTGATGTGTTGTCAAATTTTCGAATAATACTTGAGAGTATTTTGCTTGCAAAATGTTTAGCCTCATCACTTTCACCACCAGCCAGTCGAGTATATGCTTCAATCCTTTGTCGTAAAGGGTATACCAACATATCTTCTACAATGGCATTTAAGCATTCTTCCAATACTTGAATTCCAAAATGTTTCGTCACTGCCACAATTTCTTGTAATACATTCAAGTTAATTTCTTGTTTCGAATGAACCAGTCTTGCACAAAGTACTCCACATAAACTTGGTAAATTCAATTTGATAATAACTTGTGCATTGATTTTTGATTCGTCCGATGAAAATGCTGTGTTTCGCATTTCTGATTTTGTGTACAGATCGATGAATTGATCAATTTTTGCAGAACATGCTGGATATTTCTCTTTAAAACTAAGAATGAGCAAAACCGATTTTGGTTCCAAAAGTTCTAATCGAAGGGAAATAGATAGCACTTTTGGTATAAAAAGATCTAACCAAGATTCTTCGTTCAACTCTAAAATCATAGTTCCTATTGAGAATACTCGATTCGAAAAAGTATAACTTTCAACTATTCAAATGATAATAGTTCAATAAACTATAAATGTATGAAAACATGACTTACATGACATTTGATCCAAGTAATGGATGAATAATGGCTTGAAATTTCCAGCTCCGTGTTGCTTAATTAATTTGGTGGCCGATGTAGTAGATTCTTCAGTAAAACCATCTGCAAGCCACATTTTTTCCACAAATTTCAAACTCAATGGAAGATAGTTCACTAAAAGGCAAGCCTCCAAAACCTTTGGAATATCCAATCCGTTTGTTGTCTTTCCACGTTTATCCTCAGCACAACCAACAAGGGACGAAGTATAGGCCATCAATAAATGTTTCCTCTTATCTGTTTTCTTATCCTTATAATCCTCTAACAACTTATTCAAAAAATCCTTCTTGGGTTTGCAAAGCGACTTTAATTTCTTTGGATAAACAAGAATGCATGCACTCTTGTATCGTCTTTCAATTTCAAGTCCACCCACATCAAAATCTTCTCTTTTCTTTTTGTATTTTAGATATAAATTTTAAATTCATGTCAGATACTTACCTTCTGAGTGGCTACTGGCATTTGTTTTCTTCTATTTTCTGGGAACACTTCTTCTTCAACTATTGAAACCAGAGTTTCGCCTACATTATTTTGAAAGCTGTATGTCATTTCAGTTATTGCGCTTATATCACTATTGAATTCAGAAAATTCACGTTTTTCCAAGAATCCCAAATGTACCACAGTATGGTCAAGTTTGGAAAATTGTTTAAAAGCAATCGCATCATTCCCTTTCAATGAGGAAGAAGTAAATGAGTTATTGTCGTATTCATTCTCAAGGATGTAACAAAGCTTTGAGTACATAGGAGCCTTAATCCATGTTTCAATCACTTGTTGCATATCCTTTAATTGTTGAGTACTAGTATATGGCGCAATTTTTTCAGTTCCAGAATATTTCAAACTGTAAACCAAAGACAAAACGTGTCCTGAGGTAATTATATCTGATTTTTGTGTGAAATTATTAGAATAACAAGTCATATAATAGGGTGAATAGGTGGCTTCCTTTTGGAATTCAAATTTCTTCTCTGTGTTACCATTAACCATTACAAAATCACCTCCAGCATACAAGCTAGGCAGTTGAATTACTATTGATCCAATCGCATTAGGCTCAATATCTGCCTGGAAATCAAAATGGCTTTCCTTCTCGTATAACACCATTCTATATAGTGATATATCAATCTTTTTCTCTTTTAGAATACCTAATTCTGGTTTAATTCTATTCAACAACTCTTGCATCAACACATCCCATTTAGGATTTGTTATTCTAAACTTTTTTGGTTCAATCAACTTCCACAAATTCTTCTCTCCTGCATTCATTGAACTCCTAATCAAATCATTCACTTGTTCCTCATACACAATCGGAAGTGGTAATAGCCTATATGTACCACTCTCCTCATCCAACATCTCAATAGAAGGCATCATATAATCTGAATGCAATTTTCCTCCACTCCAAAACTCTCCATCAAATCCAGACAATTCTAACACATCACTCATTCGTTTCTTAATATTCTTCTCGGCAGGTAATAATTTCTCAGCAACTAAATCGCAAGGCCTGAGCACTGGATCCGTTGGTCCATCATATGATAAACCTTCATCCATCCAATCATCACTATCGGAATTGTAGTCATCACTATTGGAAAAATCATCACCATAATCATCTAGAGTGAATATGTCATTCCGAGCTTTGAGCATATTTTGAAGAACGTTGATATCAAAGATAGGTGAAGGTGACCGAGTAGATTTGGCCTTTCGTTTTGTCATTTTTTTTTTGAAATTTTTAAACTGGTGCAAAGTGGCGCGAATATTGAGTTTCATTTTTGGAAAGTTACCGTTATCAATATTTTCAAAAATTAATAAAAAAAATTCATTTGAAAAAATGTCATCTTCATCAAAATGGTACGAAAAAGTCGGAAGCGAATTATTTACTGATGTTATCGGATCCTTCCTAACAACATATTTTACTATACAACAACATTCCGATAGCCACAACCACAACAAACAGAATGGAAATGGAGGCGATCTAGCTAGCCTTTTATTATCCTGCAAATACATCTATGGAATTTTCGAAAATTGTGATGAATTTTGGATCAAACTCTTTGAACGAGAATACAAAACACAATTAATTCGTCATCAGGATCATCAATTAAATAATAATTTAAATAACAATAGCAATAATAATAATAGTTATACAACAAGAGATGATGCCGATTCATGTCATGTTAGTCTATTTAGAATGGAAAGTTTTCAAAAAGAATTTGTAGGAAAGAGAAAACTGATGCGAGCCTATTTTCATATCAAATTCTATGAAAAACATACAAACTTGCTTCCGAGGGAATATTTGAATGATGAATTGTATTTGCCAAGTGATGATGATAAGAAGGAAGGATTCATTCCACGATTGATTAGTGCAAGTAATGAGGGATATGTCTACGCAGAGGGATTTTGTTCTCAATTGTGTGGAGGATACTTTGTTGAGGGATATGATCCTTCGTGTCCTGATGTGTATAGAACTAGATTGAATGGACAATATTTCAGTATATTTTCGGCTGTTTTTTCTGAGGATTTCACAGCAATGATTGAGCAGTATCTCAAGACTAATCATGCAATGATTTTCACAGTGGTAGTTTATAGTGCCGAGCAAGATTTTGATTCACTGGTAAATAATGGTTTTGGAGGATTTGAAAAATTGTTCAAACTTTCTAGAATTACAATGGATAGATATATTATTTCGTTTGGAATTCACTATGGAGGAAAGGACCAGAACTATTCGAAAAGTTCAAGACATATTTTACAAAACGTTTACGTGAATATCTTTTGAAATTTAGCATTACAGATCCCACCATAATGGAATGTAACCTATACGAAAGAGAACAAGTCAGAGAACTCACCATACAAACCCTTAACAAGATCAAACTCATTAATTTACAAAAATTCCTTCCAGTCCTCCTCAATTCCAAAGATCCAAACAAGAAGAAATGTTCCCTCATGTAAAATTTTACTGCACAACAAACCCAAGTGAAACTGGATTTGTATCAGACAAGAATTCTTGTTCACACAAAGATTTAAAAAGGTAAAAAAGTAACAACTTGCAGAACGTGAATTCACAGCAACAAAACACAAAAAAATGTCTCTGCTCACTTCACCTGCACCTACTATGTGGCTGGCAAATCATCCGATGTAAAATTAATATTCAGCACAGAAACGACATCACGAAATAGATTTTTGGAATTTAATTTTGCACGAGTCGGAACTGTTAAAGTAGAATTGGAATGTTTGACCAAGTACAATTATGACAAGACAAAGAATGAGTTGCAAATGGTTTTGGTGGCCAAGATTAATGATGATGCTGGACAGGAAACAGTTGATCAAAAGAGTTTTCCAAGTTTTGTCTATGATCAGTTGATGACGACCAAATCGGCAAACCAAAAGAAAGAGAATACTATTGGAAGGATTTCGAATGTCTTTACATTTGGAAAGAAGGTTGCTAAACAAGTAGAATTCGAGTTCAAGGCACAGGTAACTGGTGATTGGCAAACCTATTCGAAAAAGTTCAATGAAATTGTTGGTTCCTTTTCAAAGGTGGAAGATAAGCCAATTCTCTATGAAATTGGAAAGGAATTCTTCTTTGATAAGAGAGATGCTACTGCCAGTTTGAATGGTTACCTCTATCAGGTTGATTTGGCTTTGAGTTATTGGATTGACACTTTGGATGATCCTAGTCTTTGTGTAATGATTGAATTTGGTGAAGATGTTGCTGTTCTTCCAATAAGATATGTCAATGAAATTGAAGATTATAAGAGTGATGTTAAATCTGAAGAGGGACAATCATATTCCACCAAAAAGAAAGAGAAACTCGTTTTTGATCAAGCTAAACTGTATAAGGAAATGATCGCTTTCAATTCAGATTGCATTTGTGATATTTTCCTCAACTATTTCACAACTGAAGCACGATCTGGCAAGAACAATACAATAACATACCGATTCACAACAAGCACAACCATTGAGAATTTGCAAGTATGGAAAAGGAAGGGAGAAGCTGCAACTAAAATGCTCAAAGATATGATTGAACAACATGACAAGAAGAGAACCACTAACTCTACCAAAATTAGATACAAACGTGAATCAGAAGATTGGGCAATCTTTGTAAATTATTGTAGAAATGATTGGAGCAAGGCAGTGGAGAAATTATCCAAGGTTGAGTTTATTGAAATGATCACACCTGAAAAGTTGAGTGAAATAATAGAAGCTAAACTGAGAAGACACCTTGGCCACACTAATAGTGATGTAGGGCGATTGAGAAATCAGCTTTTTGGCATTATCAAATCTCAATTATTGGAAAATAGAGGAAATAATACAGAACAAAATCCTAAAATGCTTCATCCTCAAAAGTTGAGACAATTAATCGATGAAGAAATTAGAATTAGCATGCAAACACAGCAACTCTTAAAAGAGAATGAAGAGTTGAAACGTGAAATTGAAAGATTGAAAAAGAAATAATTTATAAATTATTCAGCAAGTAATTTCTTGATATCTTCTTCCATATCTTCAGGTTCAGTATTTGGAGAATATCTTTGTAAGACCTTTCCACTTTTAGAAACCAAGAATTTAGTAAAATTCCACTTGATGGCATTGAAGAGAGAACCTTCTCCTTCCTTCTTCAAGTACTGGTAGAGAGGAATAGTATCACCTCCATTGACAGTTGTTTTGGCAAACATTTTGAAAGTCACCTTGTACTTGTCTCTTGTGAATGTACAAATTTCTTCATTAGATCCTCTTTCCTATTAATTAATTATTATATTAAATTGATCGGAATAATAATTATCATTAAAGTAATTAAATTGATGATCGGGATGACAACTTACTTGGAAAGCAAATTGATTGCAAGGGAATGCCAAAATTTCCAATCCTTGATCCTTGTACTTTTCATATAACTTTTGCAATCCTGCATATTGAGGTGTTTTACCACAACTGCTGGCAACATTCACAACCATCACTACCTTTCCCTTGTAGTCGGAGAGTTTAACGTCATTGCCTTGAGCATCTGGCACAACAAAGCTGTAAAATTCAGATTCTGTCATTGTTGATATTTTTTCTATTTGATTTTTTGGTTTTTTGTGATTGATGTTACACAACTGATCTGTCTGATTTGTGTGAGAATAGGAAAATAATTAGAAAGTTCTTCGCTCGTTCATTAAGGCAAAATGTTATTTGTTGCTGGTATTGGACAGTTCTTTCCTGTTCCCATTTACAATGTTTTTGACATAGTTTTCAATTCCTGAATTTTTGAAAACAACCTTTCGTTCGTTACGTGTGAAGATAATGTTATCTTCTAACAAGGTACGAACTGGGTGTGGTGTTGATTGAAGGACAACATGTTGATAATCAATAACTTCTGTGGCAGGTGTTTTGGCTTCAAAATCATGAATATCAACAGAACCATTTTCTAGAATTGCTTTGGCAATTTCCCTAAAAGGTCCATTGAACAATGGATCGACCTTTGCTGAGATAAAGGCCTCAGTAATTGATGATGTGATTTGTGAGAGTTGATTGTAACAGTTCAAGTACTTTGGAACGCAACCAGCAACTTGGAAAATGTCGGAAATTTGCTTTGGATCAGTAACTCCAAACTTTGTATCCAAATATTTAATTGCTTCATCTTTAGTCATTTCTCCAACTCCATAAACTCTCATTCTACTAGAAAATTCTCTCTTTAAAAGTTCTCTTTGAACAGTTTTAGCACCATCAAGTGTCACCACAAAGATAACATTGAGAGCTTCTTGATCAGCCATTCTCTTAGCTAATTCTTGCAAATTCCTCAAAAATTGTTCACTGTCTGGATTGGCAACAAGTTGATGAGCATTATCAATAATCATAATTGGTCTCTTTCCTGTCTTTTTCTTAACTTCGTTGCCAACTCTTTCCAAATCTTTCAAAATATCACTGGATGAATCGACACTCAAAGCTTTTTTAACATAGTGGAAGAATTGAGTAACAAATGTGAAATAACCCAATTCGGTCTTCAATCTAGCTTCGTATTGTCTTTCTGATGCTGATGAATAAAAGACAGGAATTCCTTGCCTTTTGGCTCTATAAATTAATCTTCTACAAAGTTCAGTCTTTCCACTTCCACTTTAATTTCATGAAATTCAATCCAAATCAAATTTGATTATTATTAATTGATAGATCAATCAGTATTATCAAAATCCAAAATCAAAATCACATAATATCAAAATTAAACAGTAAATCAATCAATCAATATCATTACAATTAACAACAAACCTTTGTCCATAAATCATACTATATTGATTGACACTATGCAATGCAAATTGCTCCAACTCTTCCTCTTCCTTCTTTCTCTCAATAGATCTCTCAAAATGGTCCCTCTCCTCAGCAGAAATTGTTGTAGTAAACTCCTGTTCAACACGAGACAATTTAAAGTACTCCTCCAAAACCAACAATCCCAACACACAAATTATAGAAAAAGCCTTGAAAATCCAAGCATTCTGCAATAATGTTCTAAAAGTTTGCGTAACCTTTGAAACCTTTTCTTGAGTTTCCTTCAAGGCTACTTTTAAATTTCTTTCATTGGCAAGTGTGAGAGTTCTAGTTTCCGGATCAAGTGATAGAAAGACTTGTTTATCCTCACCAGTAGTAGTGTTAGTGTTGTTTGATGTTGTTTGTGGAGGTTCGTTTTTAGAGTTTGATGTTGATGTTGTTGTTTGTGTTGTATTCTTATTGTTGATGAGAGAAAAATTACGGAATGAAAGGGAAGGATTAATAACTAGAGATGATGATGATTTGGATTGTTTAATGAGGGTACAAAGCAGTCTGCTTGATAATGTTCTTTTCACTATTTGTTGTTTAAACATTTTTTTTAATAATTAAATATTAAGTATTAAATTTTAAATATATTAAATATATTAAATAGTTGAAGGAGAATAATTTATTGGTTGGAAATTTCATTGATCATGTTGAATAATTCCGTCTCAATTTGGGAAAAGTTCGGTCTTTGATTTGGATCCTGACTCCAACATTCCTTCATCAAGTTAATATATTGTAAGCTAACTTGCAATACTTTCAATAGGGATGAAGATCTTTTGCTACTACTATTATTTCCTCCTCCTCCTCCTTCATAGGGTTCTATAAATTCCTTAATCCACATTTCACATTCCTCATCATTAGTCCAGGGAAGCATTGGCCGTTCTCCTTTCGAAACTTTTACTGGAATTGCAAAACCAAAATTCATTGTATCATGATCATCTTCTGGTGATTGTTCAGTGGATGAAATGATAAATTTTCTCATCTTGGCTGATGAGCTAAAGAATGGAGTTTCCTCAAAGAATAATTCGTACATGATGATGGAGAAACTGTAAACGTCCAATTTGTATGAAATTTTGTAACCACTTCCAAATAATTCAGGAGACTTTACAATGATTGACTCGGTTTAACTCTCTTAAATTTGAAAACTTACCATGTAAAGAGCTGTTCCAATATTGCAAGTCAATGTCATTGAATTTAAAGTCAATTTTGACAATCCAAAATCTGTAACCTTTGGTTCCATGTTGGAATTGAGAAGAATATTTTGACATTTCAAATCTCTGTGAAGACATGGAGTTTTCAAATTATGAAGATAGTTCATTCCATTTGCAATTCCTCTCAAAATTTGTAATTTTGTTTGTAAATCAAGTTTCTTCTTTCCAATTTTGGAATTATGAATGGCTGCATCCAAACTTCCATTTTCCACAAACTCTGTAACCATGTATTTAACTGAAGAAGACACTACAATTCCATAAAATCTCACAATAGAAGGATGTCTCAAATTATTAAGGAGAGATGCTTCATTTTCAAAGTCAGTGCTATCCCTTTCGAATTTTAAACTTTTTAGAGCTACACGATTTCCTTGCCATTTAGCTAAGTATACAGTACCATTAGCTCCTTCTCCAATTCTTTTGATGATTTCAATATCCTCAATTGGAATTAAGATATTACTAATCTTGGCAACTTCCAGTTTTGATAATAATGGAGTGTGCTCATTATCAGTATTGATAGAAAAAACAAAATTCTTATCAATAATCTTTTGTGCAATTTCCTTTTCAGTCATTTCCTTCTTTCTCAATTTGAGTAATCTCTTAACAACATAGATCAATAAATAAATTGCAACCAGTAGAATGATTGCAATGCCAATAGAGGAGAATACAATTATAATATAACCTCTATAGACACACACGTTGTAGTGTGAATTTAAAAGTGGTGATAAACCATAATCAAAAGGGCATCCAATAATATCAATATCAATCTCAAATGTAAAGTCATGGAATGGGAGATATACTGAAATATTTGAGCTTTTTGAAGTTTCTGACACTTGCAAGAAGAATTTAAAGTCAGTATTGGAAAGTGGATCAATTGAAACGAGGGATACAAGAATGTTGGATGAATCACTTGCCTTAATAATTGGAGCAGAATTTGTTCTATTGAATCTGTTGTCAAACATGTCAAAATACTCAAAATCCAATTGTATTGTTTGCCCGGGTTGGATGGCAATTCGTTGATTATCGTAAGGTTGACTAGATTCCGTTCTCCAAAGTGCTCGAGTTGTTTTCCTCGAACTCAGGTCAGATTTCGAATAATTTTGGGCATTAAAATCAATAACATCTCCAAAGTAAAATAAATTACCAGCCAAAGAAGCAATATTATCTGAAATATCACAATTTTGGGTTTGAATTCGAGAATTTCCCTCAGAATAAACAATTCCTCCTCTAATTGCTTGAGTATTTTGAATAATGAGATTGGACATGTACAAAATAGTATTAGAAATATAGGCAATTCCTCCATTTCCACAATTATCAACTAAACAACCTTCAATGAATCTTGCATAAGTATCCACAAACTGATTTTTATCCAAAGTAATTATGGAACTAGTTGCATAAATTATTCCTCCATTCACTGCCCAATTATTTCTGAAATTGTTAAATTCCACATGTGTGGGAAACTGTTCCAATGTTATAAGACCATTGCTGGTTGACCAATTGTCCTCAAATAAACAAAAACTAATTTTTCTAAATTGATTTGTCAATTGATTTCCTGAAATATAAATTGGATTACCATTGCGAGTAAAATTTGAATGCTCCAATGTAAAAGAACCAATTCCTTTCGCAGAAAGAACATTTTCATTTCCCTCAAAAGTCAAACCTCTCAAGGTAGAGCTGAAAACAGTTGTCATGTGTAATTTGGAATTGTTTGCAAATGTAGAGCCAGTAATTGTGAAAGAATTGATACCATCAATA